TACAAACGAAATACCCACTTTATTTTGCTGGTGGATTTATAATAAATCCACCCAACCTCATGCAACAATGTTCGATCGAGTCACAACTGGTATGATGTTCAGTTCAAACTCATTGCAACCCACAATTGTTTTTATACGCCTGTTTCTTTTACCCTTCTTGTTTTTATTTGTCTATTTAATTAATATACATGGATTACGCTTTGAATGAATATTTTCTACCGCACTTTCAGTAAAACGAATAGGAGACATACTTTCATCATCTAATATTGGATTTTGTGTGCTCCCGGATTTGCCATCATCATTCACACCGATCTTTTCTGTTTCAAGTAGAAATAATTCCTGTTGTTGTTATTTATTTCGTACATCGTAAAGTTCTTCACCGAAACTTTTATCTTTATCTTGTAAACATGTTTTTTTTGATGGCCCGCCACCAAAATTAAACAGGTCATCATCACTATCATCATTATCAGTAAGTACTGCAATGATTAGACGTTTATAGGCTTGCTGCGTCTCTAAATGAGCTGTATTACTGCTCCGTGGTGGCGAATTATCTATTTGCACACCTGATTTTTGCTGAAAACCTTCAACTGTAGTTTTTTCTTTCCGTGTAGTTATAATAGGTAAAGGCTTTGGTTTCGGTTTGGAAATTACGTTTTTAATGGGAGATTTTTTGCCAGTTACTTTATCACTTGTCTGCATACTTTTTTTTAATTGAAATAAATTCTCTTCTTCATTACTGTCATCACTGTCATTGATAACAATTTGATTAATTTTGTTCCGTTTACGCTTTGAATGAATATTTTCTTCCGCACTTTCAGTAAAACGAATAGGAGACATACTTTCATCATCTAATATTGGATTTTGTGTGCTCCCGGATTTGCCATCATCATTCACACCGATCTTTTCTGTTTCAAGTAGAAATAATTCCTGTTGTTGTTATTTATTTCGTACATCGTAAAGTTTTTCACCGAAACTTTTATCTTTATCTTGTAAACATGTTTTTTTTGATGGCCCGCCACCAAAATTAAACAGGTCATCATCACTATCATCATTATCAGTAAGTACTGCAATGATTAGACGTTTATAGGCTTGCTGCGTCTCCAAATGAGCTGTATTACTGCTCCGTGGTGGCGAATTATCTATTTGCACACCTGATTTTTGCTGAAAACCTTCAACTGTAGTTTTTTTCTTTCCGTGTAGTTATAATAGGTAAAGGCTTTGGTTTCGGTTTGGAAATTACGTTTTTAATGGGAGATTTTTTGCCAGTTACTTTATCACTTGTCTGCATACTTTTTTTTAATTGAAATAAATTCTCTTCTTCATTACTGTCATCACTGTCATTGATAACAATTTGATTAATTTTGTTCCGTTTACGCTTTGAATGAATATTTTCTTCCGCACTTTCAGTAAAACGAATAGGAGACATACTTTCATCATCTAATATTGGATTTTGTGTGCTCCCGGATTTGCCATCATCATTCACACCGATCTTTTCTGTTTCAAGTAGAAATAATTCCTGTTGTTGTTATTTATTTCGTACATCGTAAAGTTCTTCACCGAAACTTTTATCTTTATCTTGTAAACATGTTTTTTTTGATGGCCCGCCACCAAAATTAAACAGGTCATCATCACTATCATCATTATCAGTAAGTACTGCAATGATTAGACGTTTATAGGCTTGCTGCGTCTCTAAATGAGCTGTATTACTGCTCCGTGGTGGCGAATTATCTATTTGCACACCTGATTTTTGCTGAAAACCTTCAACTGTAGTTTTTTCTTTCCGTGTAGTTATAATAGGTAAAGGCTTTGGTTTCGGTTTGGAAATTACGTTTTTAATGGGAGATTTTTTGCCAGTTACTTTATCACTTGTCTGCATACTTTTTTTTAATTGAAATAAATTCTCTTCTTCATTACTGTCATCACTGTCATTGATAACAATTTGATTAATTTTGTTCCGTTTACGCTTTGAATGAATATTTTCTTCCGCACTTTCAGTAAAACGAATAGGAGACATACTTTCATCATCTAATATTGGATTTTGTGTGCTCCCGGATTTGCCATCATCATTCACACCGATCTTTTCTGTTTCAAGTAGAAATAATTCCTGTTGTTGTTGTTTATTTCGTACATCGTAAAGTTCTTCACCGAAACTTTTATCTTTATCTTGTAAACATGTTTTTTTTGATGGCCCGCCACCAAAATTAAACAGGTAATCATCACTATCATCATTATCAGTAAGTACTGCAATGATTGGACTTTTATAGGCTTGCTGCGTCTCCAAATGAGCTGTATTACTGCTCCGTGGTGGCGAATTATCTATTTGCACACCTGATTTTTGCTGAAAACCTTCAACCAAAGAATCTATAGTACAAAGAAGTGCCACACTCATACAAACGAAATACCCACTTTATTTTGCTGGTGGATTTATAATAAATCCACCCAACCTCATGCAACAATGTTCGATCGAGTCACAACTGGTATGATGTTCAGTTCAAACTCATTGCAACCCACAATTGTTTTTATACGCCTGTTTCTTTTACCTTTCTTGTTTTTATTTGTCTATTTAATTAATATACATGGATTAGTAACGAAGTGAATGGTAAAGAAATCCCTCAAATAATTTTTCTATATACTTTGTTGCTTTATCTTCTTGTACTGGAAAGGCCCATATCATAGGAGTAAAGAGTAATAGAATATATTATTTTTTTTATTGCAACAAATGATGCACTACAAAAACCATTATGTATGTACAAATGTGATATTGGAGACATTAAGTCTGCAGTATATTAATATGTATGTTTTTATTGCACATTTGTGCATATATTTTACCTCAAAAGGAACTACTTCTTAATAGTTTGAATTTTTGGTGACTTTTTGTGATTATTTTAAAAAATATTTTTAAGATTCATATAAAAGTGTTTGAAAAGTATTTTAAAGAAAATAAAAATATTAGAAAAGTAAGAAAAATTATATTGAAAAAATGTATAGAAGTCACTAAAACCACTAAGCGCATGAGTTTGAGGAAGTTTGAGGAAGTTTGAGGAAGCGCATGAATGCTATTTACAAAGGATTGAAATGTTAAAATTGGAAAAGTCAGAAAAAGGAAAAAATCAGATTTGAGACATAAATAAATTTGTAATGTGTTTTTACACTACAATTCATACCAATAGCAAACAGGTAATTTTGTTTCATATGCTATCAAATTCAAAAACTTATCAAATGTACACAATTTTGACTTCGTCACTGAAATGCTGTTTGATCGCTTGAACATTTTACAGCGAACAAACACACAAACATGCGTATAATGTAATACAGAGGGTTGCATGTATGATTGAATACGTATGCAGTCGGGCTTTTGTCAGCCTTACTTGACTCACATATAGGTTTGAACTGAACATCATACCAGTTGTAACTTGATCAAACATTGTTGCATGAGGTTGGGTGGATTTATTATAAATCCACCAGCAAAATAAAGTGGGTATTTTGTTTGTATGAGCGTGGCACTTCTTTGTACTATAGATTCATTGGTATAAGGTATAAAAAGTGAACTGAATTCGGAAATAGCTAAATATTTAACAAAAATTGTTTAAATTTAATGAAAGTTACTAAAGTTCAAGAATAGATAAATTTTTAACAAAAAAAAAATTATGTAAAATTAATAAAAGTATGAATTGAAAGATAGAAAAGAAGTCTTTTTTTAAGAAGAAGAAGGAAAAAGTGCTATAACTGATCATAAGAATTTGAATAAAAAGCATCACACTCAATATCTAACAGACGTAAAAGGAAACAACAGGAACTGAAGGACAGTAACGGCGACTGGATCCACCGTTAGGATACAACGGTGGCCAGGTATTCCAGCTATTAAGGATACAATTTGAATAAAAGAAAAGAATAAAAAAAAAAAAAAAACTTTAAAGCTTTAACTGCATAATTTCAATTATTTTTTTTTATTAAATTTATTTGATAGTTATTATTAATCTTATATTAAATTAAAAAAAAAAAGAAAAAAAAAAAAAGATATATATTTTATTTGGTTGTTTTATCATTTACAAGAAGAAAACTGTTTTGAATGACTTGATAACTATAATTTTTTTTTGTTTTTGGGTCAATCTGTAACATCAAAGAGAAAAATATCAACATATCAGAAAAGAAAAAAAAAAAATCCATTACAACCACTGATGTATAAATATTTATTTCTTTGTTTATTTGTTTGGGATTTTTGAATTTATAACTAGGTCACACACACACACACAGCGGTGGCTGAAGTGACGTCATTTCTGCGGCTGCAAGGTAAGCTATGAAAACAAATAGCAAACGTAAAAGAGATAACTAATTTTCTCAGTTAAAAACTGAGTGTTTTATAATTAAATATTTTTTTCTTTTGGTTTCATGTTTATTATCAGTACTACAATTTTTTTTTTTTCTCTTTTCTATTCTTTTGTTGGTGTTTTGGTTAGGGAAGTTTTTTTTTGTATATACACCAATTGTCACCATATTAAGTATAACAAAGAAAAAAAAAATAGTTGTTGAGAAAGGAATGAATAAAAACCTGGTAATCACAGTAGGTTTATTATATTATTTTTGATAAAAATATATATATATATTGAAGACATTAGTGAATATTGTAAATATTTATACATGCATAAATATTTAGTAAAATTTTATTAGAAAAATATGTATATATGAAATTCTTTGTAAATATCTATATATGTATATGAAACATTGTAAATATCTATATAGGAAATATTGTAAATATCCATATATGAAATAACGTAAATATCTATATATGAGGAAATATTTGGTAAAATTATTATTACTAGTTTGAAATTATATTATAAACGTCATAAAACAATTTCTGTATTTATAGTACAGTAGAATCGCGGAAAAGTTAACTCTCGAAAAAGTTAATCTCGCGGAAAAGTTAACAGCATTTCGGCGTCCACGTAGCGCTCTAAAAAGTTAACTTCGAAGTTAACTTTTCCGAGCGTATGAATTTTTTTTTTGAAATCAACCGTTTCTTTGCCGACACAAGCCAGTGCGAGCTCTAGTTTTGATTATGGGTATTCCCCGAATATTCTATTTTCTTTCTGTTTTGTTTTGTGCTCCAAACATATGTTTTCATTCTTGTCGCAAATTACCTTGATTGAATTGTTCGGTAGCGTTTGAGTTGATTAGTTGTGAATTTTTTATTAAAAAAATGTCAAAAATACAGAAAAAACGGCAAATCAGATTAAATTTGCAACAAAAAGTAGATATATTAAGAAAACTTGATGACGGTATTGCGGGAAATCGAATAGCGCTGCATTATGGTGTGTCTAAAGTAGCCATCAGTAAAATAAACAAAAAACGCCAAGAAATTTTAAAAACAGTGGCGGCCACTTATGAAAGTGCAGAGAAGAAAACACTCCATAAGTCAGAATATCCTGATCTGGAGGTAAACTTGTACAATTGGTTCCTGAATCAACGGCAGCGTAATTGTGCAGTGACTGGTGCCATCTTAAAATCAAGAGCTAAACTCGAATTTGAAATTCTGTATCCGGGAAAAAAATTTAGTGCAAGTGATGGATGGCTGGCAAATTTTAAAAAACGGCACGGTATTCGCCTTCTCAAAATTTGTGGGGAAATTCTTTCGAGCGATACACCGAAAATAACTCCGTTTGTACATAGTCTACGAGCAAAAATCAATGAAATGGGCATCTCCGACTCCCAACTATATAACGCAGATGAATCTGGACTATTTTATCGTTTATTACCGGACAAAACATTTGTCGCAGCAAACGAACATGCCGCACCGGGAAGAAAAACTGTTAAGGAAAGAATTACATTTTTGTTGTGTGCAAACGCAGATGGTTCGCACAAGTTGAAGCCGTTGCACAGTGTAACGAGTGCGGACAAAAATCATAAAAAATGAAGGTTATTGGAATTGGAAAAGCGGTTTACATATTGATAGGTAATACTTCTACTAAGAAAAATCTGAAATATTTTTCAAAAATTTCTATGCATGGGACCACATCTTCTCATCAAAGTCACTCTAATTAGATCTTAATTTTTTTTTTGAAAAAACCTAAGTTTATAGCAATGCACTTTCAAGCCATATATTAGTTTTTTTTAGGTACAACTCTGCATAAAATGCATATATGAGTAAAATATATAATTTAGTAAGTCCGTTAACACTTTGATTTATTTTGTTTTGATTCCTATTTTCATTTTACCGTTATTCTAAAAAAGTAAATTCGCGCGCGTGATCAGTTCATAAAAGTTAAACTTTAAAAGTCTTTTTCTCAAAATTATATCAATTTATATTTCTAATTTTTTGACAAATTACTTATTCAAGTATGTACTTAAAGAATATCTAAAAATTATTTGCATCTAGCTGCAACTTTTAATGAAATGTGATTTTTTCAGTGGCACCAATTATTAAAATTAAAGAACTTTTTGAGTTATGGCTTACAGAAACAGAAAAAAATCGTGTTGAAAAAATAAATATTATGATGGAATTTGTTTTGAAAAGAGTTGGTTTTCAATTAAATAGTCAAAAACTCAAAAAGAAAATCAATTTTCTTGAAATACAATTAAAAAGAAAGTGGTTACATAGTTCGAGGATGAGAACTAAATTTATTAATAAGAATTCCGCCTGGCTTGATTTTGAGTTTAGGTACGATGACTGCAAATGTTTAGACGTAAGTACATTTTTATTTCTTGTTGCTGAAACTTGAAGTAATATCACAAAATTAGGAACCAACAACTGCTGCCTTGGAGCCTCTAAGAAGTGAAAATGAAATAAGTAATAACGCATTTAATAATAAGGGCCGTCCTGTAAAATCGTATGTTGAAAGCTGTGATAGAACAAAAAGACGTAAAGTTGAAAAACTTATATCATTGAAGTCACCAGAAGAAATTACACATGCTGCAAAACGTTTAAATTATACAGATGAAATTAAACGCTTATCGATAAATAAAGCTATCGCTTTGTGTTTTGATTTAGATTTATCGGTAAGAAAATATAATATTTTGCGGTCGGTGATACATGCTATGCATCCTGATTGCTTTCCAAGCTACCACCTTATAAAGAAAGCAAAGGAAGAATTGCTACCTAATCCTATTTTTGTGTCGGAATCTTCAGCAGAAGTGCCGCTCGAAACTTTGCTTAATGTAACAGCTAAAAGCTTATTAGCATTAAACAAAATTAATTGCAGTATGAAAATTTTATTAGAATGTAAATGGGGTTTTGATGGCAGCTCAGGTCATAGTACTTATAAACAAACATTTCCTAATGAAAACGCTACCGATGAGTTCATGTTCATTGTGGGGTTCGTTCCACTTAAAATGACAAATAATATCAACAATGATCTCGTATGGGAAAATAAAACTCCTTCTTCAATAATGTACTGCCGGCCAATAAAATTTATATTCATGAAAGAAAATCGAAATTTAATACAATCTACAGAAAAACATTTGTCTCAGCAAATCGACAAACTTGAACCATATTATTTCAAAATTGACAACTTTGATGTTGAAGTTCATTTCAAAATGTATTTAACAATGATTGATGGAGCAGTCGTAAATGTATTAACTGAAAATAGATCTTGTAGTACTTGTTATCTTTGCAATGCCACCCCTTCAAAAATGAATATTTTAACTGCAATTACAAGCCCACCAAATGAATTAAATCTTCAGTATGGATTATCAACGTTGCATGCCTGGATAAGAAGTTTTGAGTGTGTATTAAAAATTGCTTATAGAATACCTTTAGGGTGCTGGAGAGTTACTACTGATGAAGCAAAAGAAATTTTTAATAAAAATAAAAAAGAAATTCAATTAGAATTACGAAATAGAATGGGATTAATTGTAGATAGAGTCAAAACAGGCTACGGAACATCAAATGATGGAAACACAGCTAAAAAATTTTTCTCTAAATTTGAATTAGCTTCTAGTATTACTGGAGTTAACACAGAGTTTATAAAAAATTTGTACATAATTTTATGCATTTTATCAAGTGGTAAAACCATAAATTTGTTAACATTTAAAGATCTTCTACAAAAAACTCAGGAAATTTATATAGTACATTACTCATGGTACAATATGCCAGCAACTTTACATAAAATACTGATTCATGGATGTGAAGTTATACAACATTTCAATATACCAATTGGCCTTCTATCCGAAGATGCAATAGAAGCAAGTCATAAAGAATTTCGAAAACACCGATTAAACCACACTAGAAAATCATCAAGAGTTTCATCGAATAAAGATCTTTTAAATCATTTATTATTAGCTTCGGAACCACTTATATCTTCGCAAAGGAAACAAATGCGAAGGAAATCACATGCCTATGATGACATGGCGGAATATTTCATTGAAGAGAGCGTAGATTGCTCCGGTTCCGAATTTGATATAGAAAATATTACATTCAGTGACACCTCTGATGAAAGCGAATAAAGTAATTGAAATACGAGTATATGATATATGTATATATTATGAAAACTCATGAAACTTGTTATAAGTAATATATTATTTGAAACAACTCTTTTTTATACGCTTTATATTTGTAAGTAGTTGGTTTAGAAGAAGGAATTTTATGCTAATTTTTCAGATACTTTTTTATAAATATTATTTTTGCATTAAATTTCAGTAAAACTAAAAATGGGACCACGCCCATTTTTTAGAAATATGTTAACATTTTAAAAACATTTATTTGTCTAAAATTTCATTGAAATTGAATCCAATTTGTGCATTTTGATCATTCACTTTGTAAGACATGTGGGCGTAAGAATGGGCGGATCACGCCCATTTTTCAGAAATATTGTCATATTATAAAAACACATATTCCTGCAAAATTTCATTGAAATTGTATCCAATTTGCGCATTTTGATCATTCACTTTGTATGGCAGGTGGGCGTAAAAATAGGCGGACCATGCCCATTTTTCAGAAACTTTTTATTATCCTTAATATAAGTCTTTATGCAAAATTTCATGAAAATAGCATAACATTTACTATTTTTGTCCGCTTGTTATATGAACACGTTACACTGTGCGTTGGTGGTCGGTAAATCTGCAAAACCACGTTGCTTTAAGGAATTTAACAATCCATTGGAATACGCTCATACAAGCAAGTCGTGGATGAATGCACAGTTATTCTTCAACTGGTTCCACAATTCATTTATAAAACAGGTAAACTTATTTTTTGGTTTCATTTTTCATTTCTAATGAACATGACATAAAAATTTTTGAAGGCATTGTTGCTAATAGACAACTGCACGGCACATAAGCCAATTGACAGGCTGAAGTCTGACGATGGAAACATTGTAGCCATGCATCTACCACCGAACGTAACAGCGGCTTTGCAGCCAATGGATCAAAATCCCATAAGATTGGTTAAATTAGGATATCGCTCCAAATTGTTATGCAACATTGCCGCGCAAGAAAACGTTCTGGTGGAAAATATTTTGAAGGCACATTCAATTTGTGACGCCATATCGCTACTTAATTCAGCATGGGAAGAATTGCCGCAATCAATTCTTATAAAAGCGTGGAATAAGATAAAAAAAGTGGGATGATGATCAATACGATAGTGAAGATGATCTTCCGTTGTCCAAATTTATTAAAGCAAACGATGTTTACGACGATACAGTTCGAGAAGTTCAATCGTTAATGTTGAAAGTGGGAAATAATCTTAACATCAGCATTGACGATATAGAAAATAGGAACAAGGATGAAATTACGGAAGATATGGAACATTTCGAAGTGTGTGATAGTGACAATGATGATTCAATTACCGAGGAAGATATTCAACAACCGAAAGTGAGTTTCTCGAAAGCAGTTGAAAGCATCAATACCTTGATAAAATGGTCCAAAGACAACAACGATGCAAATCAGGTGGCAGACCTTATCAGTATGCGCACAAAAATGGTCAAGAATTATTACACCAAAGAAAAAAAACAAACAACTCTCGACTGCTTTTTTAAACCAACTGGTACAAATTAACAATTTTCCTTTTGTAATGGCTAAAACATAAACAAAAAAAAAAAAGGAGCTATTTCTAAGCAAATCTATGCTTATTATTGTAGTTTTTTCTTTTTTTTATGAATTTTGAAAACCGCTTGGAAAAGTTAACAATCTCGAAAAAGTTAACAACCCCAAAACGGAGCGGTTAACTTTTCCGCGATTCTACTGTATATAATAAAAAAAAAAAAAGTTACAAGAATATATTTTTTTATTTATTATTATTTTGTTTATAACTTCATTATGAGATTTTGTTGAATCTATATAGAGGGGTTGTGTTAGTGCGACGTTCCAATCATTTTTCCTAAGACAGAGATTCCTTAAAAAGAAATTGTATTCACCTATTTTCACGTGATTTTAAAAATGCAACATTTTACGAACAGCACTCAAGCATTACCGGATGTATTACCAGTGTTTCCCACATTCAAAGAAAACATGGCGATACAAGCTGGTGCTGTTAAGAACATCAACTGGGGAGTGGAAGAGTCCATCATGACTGAAATGAAAGCGGTAGGGTTACCCAGAGGTAGGACCAGCGACCTAGGTGCAAGCCTGGCGTATACCGAACTTCCTAAGGCAGCTGCAGTAGTAGTGACCATCAAGGGCAAGACTCTCCCCATATTATTCGATGCGGATTTTTTTAAATTTAAGAAACCCAAATAAATAATAATAGCTTTAGTTATATATATATTTTTTTTTTTTTGCGTGGATATATTGAAGTAATTTAGGTCAAGTAGAATGAATTAGATAAATAATAGTTTTTTTTGTTTTTAAGCATTGAAATACTTAATGAAGTTAGATTATTATGTGAATATCATACTCATTATTTGAATATTATTATATGAATACAAATAAATGTATAAATGAAATATTAATGGATTATAGATAGATTTAGTTAGGATACGAACTAAAAAAAAAAAAAAGATGGCACGATTTTTATTTTTTGTTGTTGTCTGCAGCGATTCCTCAGTTGCCAAGAACCCCACCCCAACACCGGCGAGCATACCGGGCTAGCCACCGTGCCATGAGTGGTTTCTGAGGACGCGGAACTACCAACAGGTAGACGCAACAGCATATATTACCCAAGGTAGAGAGCTACGAATGCCAAGTACATTATATGATGCAGTGACACCAGGCCTTGGAAGAGCTACACAATCTCCAGATAGCAAAGCGCAAAAGCTACTTGAAATATACACTATTGCTAGAAGTAACATAGGAAAAGCCTCACAAGACCAGACCAGATACTATAACCTCCGACGACGGGAGTGGAAACCGGAACTCGGTACACTGGTACTTAATCGTTCGCAACCATTATCTAATGCACTAGAAGCCTTTAATGCAAAATTAGCACCGAAATATGCCGGACCTTATGAAATTATAGACTTTGTATCACCGGTCATTGTAAAATTGCGTAGTCTAGACACCAATAATTTGTTGACGGCCCACATTAGTCGTATTAAACCATACTATAATTAATGGTAATTACACGCTAATAAATGTTACTTTAATAGATTTCAAGAGACGTATCAACATGGCAAGAACTGTCTAAGAATTGCACATTAAGATATTTCATAAGGCCTACGCGCGTTCGTATATTTAATTTCAGTCAGGCTTACTGCCTGCACTTCTTATGGCAACAATGTTGCAAAAGAAAACAAAATTGTTTTCCTTTAAGACGCAACTATGTTGTGCAAAACAGATCAAGTATCATTTGAAATACTTGATCGATGAATTGTTCAATCATTATTGGACATAGATATCGTCATCTGGCTATTGACGCCAAAGCTAAAGACGCTGACGAGGTGCTTTAGCAAATAGAAGCTCCAATCCTATTGGATGGAGAAAAGACGCTTCTAGAAAATTCCTAGGAATTTTAGAAGCTTGAATTTAATTGGATAAAATCCAATTTCAAATTTTCAATAACGACTTCAGGCATCAAAGGAAAAACTTTGAATTGTCAGTCGTTAGGAAAGGTTAAACAGAAACGGTCTAGTTAAAAAGTCGTTAAGAATAAAGTCGTTGGTCGGTCTCTTTAATATTAGCAACATAAAAATTAAATATATCATATACAATAAATTATATTCAATAACTTGTAATTAAAATTATTAATAATAAAATAATGTATTAATAAATAAAATATATTTTTTAAAAAACCAAAACACGAACCCAAAACTTAATTTGTGTACGCTTTATAGAGTTGTTCGGCGAAGACACCGATACAGAAGAAATGGCGAAAACAGTGAACACAGCTGAACCGGAAATGAAATCAAGTCCCTTGCATTACACCTCATTTGGCTGGGATACTGAGGACGTTCTGGAACTAACAGCCTCGCCAGTATGGTCCGGCGACGAACAAGCTATACCGCAAGCCGAAAGAAGTTGGGAATGTCCACCTACGCCTCCTGTGGCAAAAATACTACTCAGTTCAACATCAGAGGTATGTGACTCACCGGCTATAACAAGTACAACAAGACTTAGTGGTTCCATGGTTAGGGAAAATTTACAAAGCGTGTCTTAAATACAGTTATGTACCACTTAGTTGGAGGCAGGTTTAAGTCGTCTTCATACCCAAGGTAGGCAAAATCGGACACGAGTCCGCCAAAGATTACAGGCCGGTTAGTCTAACTTTATTCTTACTAAAAACAATGGAGAGGGTAATAGAGCTTCACCTAAGACAAAAGGTAGAACGTTTTCCAATCTCTAAATCCCATCATGCTTACCTCAAGGGTAGATCTACGGAAACAGCTCTACATGAGGTCATTCGTACTGTGGAAAAATCGATTTATTTTAAACAATACTCGTTGGCAACCTTTTTAGATGTTGAAGGAGCTTTTAACAATGTAAGCAATAAAGCTAGACTCGCTTTCCAGAATAGGTTTAGAGGAAGAGTTAAAAAATTGGATAATTACTATGCTAACAACAAAGGTTATTCAGTCAAAGTATATAGGATCTCATGAAATGTATTCACAGCTACAATATGACATTATGCATAATTTTTATTTCGAAAACAGTCAGCACATATCGAGCCTACTTTTAAAATGTAGAGGCGCTCTTTTTAATCTGAACGGTAGAGAATTTACAGAAGATTAATTATTGATGAATTTATATAAATAATAATATTAATAATATGCACCTCCATTTGTATGCCAATCTGACACACAACAAATATTTTATTGTCAATTTAGATTTTAAATAAAACTCTATCAATTTTGTAACTGCTGTATGAATTTTTTGAATCAATAAATAATAATAATAATAATAAACAACACCAATAACAAGAGAAACTGAATGAGGCTAAACCAATGAATGTGGATCCACATCATATTTTTATAAGACAACGAATTTTCAAAATACCATAAATAAGTATAACTCACAAAGATCAAGAACTGGTTTTGGGGAAAATAAAAGAGAACTAAAAGACTAAACTTTTTATTGATACAGGTGCCTCAAAAAAAATATATAAAAAAATTATGCGAATTGAAAGACATCGAACCGTTATCTTTCTCATTCTTAACAAAATCAATTCATGGCTTAATCCAAATCACAGAAAATTACAATGTAAACATTTTTGGTATTATCTCAGATTTTTTTATTTTACCACACATGGCAAATTTTGACGGGATTACCGGCTTCCACCTTTTAGCAAAAGTAAATGCAAAAATTGATTTACGTCGGCAAATAATAAAATACGATTTCGGTGTTAAAAAAAATTTTAATTTTAGAATGTAAGGACGTGAATTTACTTAAAGTTCAAAAAAACTAAATTTCAGCAGTAGTAAGGAAATCATTCATGAATATGATTAAAATTTAATAAATGTCATTTATAAAGAAATAAGCATATATTCTTACATTTCTATTAAATAATTCAAATAGTTATATAATTTTAAACAATGTTACATTAGATATTTACCTATGAAAATATGTATTAGCGTAAAAACGAAGAATAAACTAAATTTGTAACGAAGTTTAAATTACATTCACTTTGTGTTCAAATAAATTTTTATTGTCAAATCTAATAATTAAATTTGTTTAATGATCTCAAATTTTTAAGCTTTCGCTATATTATATTTATAAATTATGGAACCCTAACATTTCGAGGTTGTCGTATCCCGAATATTTAGTTTAAGGTTTAGTAGTTAAGTTATATTAAGTAGTATTTGTGAATGGTTGGAACAATTTCACCAATCATAGTTATATTCTAGTAATAAACATTTCGCGCCTTCTCTTGGACTGGGAACGAGTAATAATTTATATATAAATATATTTATTTGGAACTTATATTTTCAATTATAAATGAATATTGTTTTGGTTAGCGGTATTACTTGCACAATCTTGGCTAACGTATTTATAGATCACTGCATTTAAGAAAATCATTATTGTATTCAAATAATTTTTCATTACAAATCTGTTTTCAATCACTGCATTAGGCAATGTATGTATCACTTTGTGTAGTTAGGGTATAAAACTATTGTACATTTTGATTCATTTAAATACATACAAGATATCTAATTAAATTACTCCCACACAATATTAACAATTATCTTATACTAAAATACCTTTTGGCGTCAATTTTAGTTTATAAAGTTTATATGCAGTTTCATAGATGGAGTACAATTTAATTATATTCACGTAAAAGACTGCTGTTAGTTTTGTAATACCCGAATACTCGTACTTGGCAATAATATTGTCAACAGCAACTATAAATAAATTTATATGTTTTTATAGAATTTTTTATATCAGCTTTCTATATATACAGTGGCTCACAGCTTATTTCGTGCAAGCAATATTTTTGTAGATTTAGTCGTGAAAATCCAAAATTTTGTTCAAAATAAAAAATTTTAAATATGCAACTTTAAAGAATGTTTAGTTTTTATTATAAAACAAAAAAAAATTTAGCAAAAATATCAATATTCAAGAAGTTAAGTGAACAAAAACAAACATACACCAAATTCTGACCTCACAGCTTATTTCGTGCAATACATTTTTTTTAGAAAATTAATAATTTTTGGCATAAAAAAGTGAATTTTAGTATTTAGTGGGATAGTCCTTTTGTTTAATTACTGCCTCCAACCTTGAACGCATTGAAATAACTAATTTTTGAGTATATTCCACTGACATTTTTTGCCATTCCAATTTTAAAGCAGCTTTCATACTTTCCTTGCTATAAATGTT